GACTTGGGCGGTTGGGCTTTGGGCCCAATCACTATATATCTTTTTGCTGCAAATTTATTTGCAATTTTAGGCCCAACTGAAAAATCCAATTTGGATTTGGACTCGGGTTTTCACCGAACTCGAGTGAGACCTCTCTAGGTACAATGAATCTGGACACATGACCTTTCATGTGAAATGTAACACCTGACTGTTCAGGTGGAAGGTTAATGGCTGGTTAATGGTGTTAACACCTGATTAATGGTGTAGTAACACCTGGTTAATAGTGTAGTAACACCTAAAACGTTTCTGCCCATTTATCTCTGTCTTAAGTGGCAGATATGACTGTTTACATTCGCTCAAGATGTGGAAGTCCTATAAATAAGACATAGAGCTGCAGAGAATAGATACAACATTTCATGCACTCTGATTATTCTCAATGCCTCACGCATCATATCATATTGCTCTGTTCTCGACTTCATTCCAGTTCGTCGGAGCTCGAATTCTGGTGTGCTACAGCGTTCGAGACGTAAGCCGTTGTATCTTTGGGGACGAGACGCCTGTACCCGTCAGCACTATACGGGGCGTTTTCGTCTTGCGGAAAGAGCAATCGCCTCGGAAATTTTTCCGCTTCTCTTTTGTAATTTCGATTATGTTTTAGTTCACTTTGTATGAACTGAAATCATCATCTTCAGTTCATAGGTTCCCGTTGTAATTTAAACACACATTGTGTAACAGTTGTGACCGGTGGCGGAACCGGTGGCAGTGCCGCCTGCGGCCGACGAAGTTGGTGGTTGCATGCCGGAGCCGGTTGAAGGAAGCCGCTGGTGGTGGGACTACACAGACGACAAGCCGTTTCCGCCGGAGCCTGCTTGGTCGCATCCATCTCCGGCGATGAGTCGCGGCGGCACGACGATGAAGCGTGGTGGAAGAGCTTTGTCGTTGAGGAGACGGTGAAGTGAGGCGGAGGCGGTGAAGTGCGACTGGATTCTGTGCGTTAGTGTGTGGAGAAGTGTGTGTGTGTGTTTATGTTCGCAGGTGTGTGTGTGTGTGTGGAGAAGAAAGTGTGTGTGTGTGTGCAGTAGGTGTAAGTGTGTGTGGCTGGTGGGTGAAAAGGGATGGGTTACGGGTAGGTGTAGCAAATTTAATTAATTGACATATGGTGGGTCCTACATTTATTTTACTTTTGTCAAATGTCTATAATACCCTTAATTAGGAGTCAATCCAATATATTTGACCACCATATAACTATATATTTACTGTATTGCCAATAATGATTGACCATTATTTATTAAAGTTTGACTTAATCATAATCATTGATATGATGTATCTAGTGGTCGAGATTTATTCTTATTTCTTTCCTAGAGCACCATTCTCATGTGATCCTAACTCTCTCTCTCTCTCTCTCTATATATATATATATAATTACTAGCTGATGCATTTAATAAAATATTTAATAAAATCTATTTTCATTTCCCTCCAAAAGGAGTTAAATTTTTGTAATTAATTACTCATTAATCTGCTAAAACCGTTACACCATAATATATATATTTTAATATTTATTTTTTGGATTAGTTACTAAAGTAATTCAAAATTTGGTAGCAAAATATTCAAATGTGTAACAGCTAATGTTGGAACTTAAAGTTGATCGACACATCCAGAGCTGTAATCGCTAAATTTGGTTGCATTGTTGGAAGAAAAATACGATTGGCACATATTTTTTTTTTTTTTCTAAAAATCAGAAATACCAATAATTTTTTTTATGTTAATTTTCTTTATATATGCCACAAATATATATTATTTTATTCATGTTACTAATATAAATGTTGCATGGTTAAAATAAAATTTAAATCTCAATTAATTTTGAATGATAAAAATAACTTAAGAAAAAGTAATAATTTTTATGTGATAGAAGTACATGTCTAATTAAGAAATACAAACAATAACGTGTTTTATATCTGTGCAAATGCACAGGATCAAATACGAGTGCATTTAATAAAACATTTAATAAAATCTATTTTTATTTCCCTCCAAAATGAGTTATATTTTTTTAATTAATTACTCAATAATATGCTAAACCGTTACACCTTAATTTATATATTTTTATTATTTATTTATTGGATCAGTTACTACATTAATTCTAAATTTAGTAGCAAAATATTCAAATGTGTAACGGCTAATGTTGGAACTTAAAGTTGATTGACACATTCAGAGTTGTAACCGCTATATTTGGTTGCATTGTTGGAAGAAAAATATGATTTGCACATATTTTTTTTATTTTAAAAAATCAGAAACACCAATAATTTTTTTTTTATTTATGTTAATTTTTTTAATATATGCCACAAATATATAAATTATTTTATTCATGTTACTAATGTAAATGTTGTATGGTTAAAATAAAATTTAAATCTCAATTAATTTTGAATGATAAAAATAACTTAAGAAAAAATTAATAATTTTTATATGATAGAAATACATGTATAATTAATAAATAGAAACAAAAACGTGTTTTATATATGTGCAAATGCACATGATCAAATACTAGTGTGAATAAATTGTTACAATATGAACGGTTAGGATTTATTTTGGCATAAACACTGGTGAAAAACCTAGGATACTCGACACAACTCAAAAAATGTGAAAAAGAAAAAGAGCAGGTAGAAGATGGCGTCGATTGAAGATGAGGAATTACGTCGCAGAAAATTGGAACAAGCCCTCGAAGTGAAATCCCTCCGTCGTATTATTAGCGCTTATCTCAAGTACTCCTTTTTAATTCAATGCACCGTAACAAGATAATCTGTGTATAATTGTGTAAATTGCATGCGTGTGTCCGTCCACTTTTTTCTAATTATTTTGTTGATTCTGAAAAATGATTTTTTTTTTTTTTTTTTTTAATTCCTGTCAATTGAATTCATATGCCTTCATTTGTTGTTAATTTTGGTTATGCTTCTTTATTCTATTTTATTAGTAAAACTGATGATTTTGACCAATAAAACCTCGCAGAAATGGAAAGTGTATTGTATTGCTCATTCTTGTAGTATATGAAGCCTGATTGTTGAACTTCAGCTGTAGCCTTGGAAAGTTTAGCATGTTTATAGATGATATTTTTCAATCTGTGGCCCACCGTGCGGCTTTAAGCTGTTTTCTTCTCTATTATCAAATCTCAAAGGCTTATTTACGAGTAGAATAGTAAAAAATGGCTGAGCTAAAATGTTGCAGGAGTGAGTTTTATTCTCTTGCGACATCTTACCTGCCATCCTTCTTGTTGTGGGAACATGTCACCTTATTGGTAATTGGTAAATGGTAATTGAAGAACAAGATTGCAACTAATGTAATCTGATCTTTCATCTGGTTTGAATACAGCTATCCAGAGGCTGCGGAGGAGGATATTAGAAGATATGAAAGATGCTTCGGAAGGCTTGTGCTTGCCCACAAGGTTTCTTTGTGATCATTAGTAGTTAGCTGAACCTTAATCATATGCCCACTGCACGGCTGGATGGGTTAGATATTTATTATGTTTGAACCATTCGTGAATCATTGCATCTAAAAGGAGTTAAGAAATTTTTGAAACTCTGTTAGCAAGTTTGTTAAGCATTGTTAGAGAAAGGAATACTGTGAAGAGTCTCAGTTAAATATTCGAATGCATTAATTTTGAGTTGTGAATGAATTGTTTGTTTGTTTGTTTGTTTTTTTTTTTTTTTTTTTTTTTTTTTTTTTTTTTTTTTT